CCTTCCTTCCCTTCCTTCCCTTCCTTCCCTTCCTTCCCTTCCTTCCCTTCCTTCCTTCCCTCTTTACATGTATAAAATTTAGAGAAGAAAATTAAAATTAGATATAACTTCACCACCCAGACATAGCCACTATTAACATTTTGGTGTATTTCCTCCCAGAGTGAGTATGTATATTTCATTTTACGTAATTATATTTTACTTTATTCACTTAATATTTTATGTGCATTTTCCTATGTCTTTTATTTTGAAAAACTGTGTTGTTATTTTTTAATGGTGGCATTGTCTTGTGAACAAACCAACATATGTTAAAGCATTCTTAAGTTATTGAATATTTGTATTGTTTTCATTACTAAAAATAATGGTTTGGTAAATTCTTGTAAATCATTATGTGCATTTCAGATAATTTCCTTACGATATAGGATATATTCCTGTATTATTAATGAATCAAATGGTAGGAACTTTAAAAAAATATCCTGATGTATATTGCGTAAATTACTCCCCAGAAAGGTTATATACCTACCATTTACACTTCCATCAGCAATATATGAGAATATCTCTTTTATTAAACCCTTGTCAGCATTAGGTAGTGTCATTAAAAACTTTGCCAATTTCATAGATGAAAAGTAGTGTCACACTTTTAATTTACATTTCATTGAATATTGGTGAATCAACATTTTTTATTTTGTTTTTCCATTTATATTTATTCAGTTTTTGTTTTGATTATATCTTATGCTCACTTTTTTTCTGTTAGCCTTTTTCTTGTGATTTTGAAGTTATTTGGTGGAGGTAAGCCTAGAAGGTAGCGTTAAAATACAACAGACGCATATTTTCAGAGGGGAAAACAGCACTACAATACTCATAAATCATGTTCTGGGATGATTTGAAGAAATCATTATAAAGATTAAATAGTCTGTTTATTTTAAATATTCAGGCAATATATGAATACATGTCCTAAAAATTCATGTATATGTGTGTATAGTTTTTTTTTTAAAGTAAATGGGGGCTGCTATAACATTTTTCTATGATTTGCTTTTTGTACCTATAAAATACTTCGTAAATCATTTTGTTAGCACATATAGATAGATCCAGTATTTTTTATCTGCTGCAATTATTCCCTAGAATATATTTGCCCCTTTTTGTATCTGCCATTTTTTAAATATATAACACAGCGAGTACATGAACACATCTCAAATACTCTAGAAGTTATTTATAATAACTATTTATATGTTTTATGTTAATGTTTTATGTAATTTTTATTTAGATATTAAAAACCCTCTAAAAGATACCATACTTCCATTATCATGAAGATTTGGGCAAGGTGTGGATCATATGTACCTTTTGTCACACCAGCTTAGGGCCTTTACACATTCTAGGTTCCTGCTAATGTTATTCGATTACACAGATACTCCCAAACCAAATCGCTGATACATCCAACAGTAACTTTCTGCCAGAATGGTTGTGAACTTTTACCTGGGAGGAATATATATGGTAAAACTAAAGAATAGTATAATTTTATTATTAGATTTATTCCATCACTACTTTAAAAGTTGTCATCTTGAGATACCAAACCCTTGCTTTAGCAGTGTAGTCATTCTTAAACATATATTTTGTAGATTTAGAACCTGTGGTTGAAAGTTTTTATTTTATGAATCAATTTTAAATATAGTAAACCATATTTTTGGAATTAACTTTAATGATTAAGGGGTATGATCAAGATAGGTAATACTTGATAAAAACGAAGTGAAACTATAAAGAGATTAATTTTCCTTTGTACCTAACAAAGACTCTAAAGATTCAAAAGAAGCTCCAAAAATGTTTTAGTTGAAATGGTTAATTTGTATGGTCTCAAAGAATTTTATGAAGTTTTATAATTACTTTAAATCCTGTATGATAATGGTTAGAGTTTTATCCAGGAGTATTAAACAGCTACAGGTGTCATCTCAAGTCTCCAGAGGCAAAGCACCCCACCCCCCCAGAACCTAAGGGTACTCCTACCTGCCCAGAGGGGTCTATGTCTTTCCACTGCCAATCGCCAGTGGAATGTGCCCCTGCCCTCCTGGCTACCCCTACCCACCACTGGCACCTGAGTTCTATCTAGGACCTCCCATAATGGACAAGGCCATGGGATATGTGAGCGCCCACCACCTCCCTACCCTGGGCTCATGGAACCACCGGTAATTTCCCCTGATGTCCCCTCCACTCTTGCAGCCAGAGCCAAGGCGACAGAAGCAGCTGCCAGCACCTATTACAACCCAGGCAACCCACACAATGTCTACATGCCCAAGAACCAGTCTCCGCCACCTCCCTGCTACCCCCCGCCTAAGGTCCCCTTCCCATAGAAGATAAGATCCAGTAGATTCCTTACTCTCTGCCTCCTGCCTCTCATTCGCTTTCCTTTCTCACCCCTAGGGGCTGAATCTGGGGTGGGGGGTGCCGGGAGGCCTTGTTCTTCCAGGTCTGATTGCAAAACACCAGGAACTGACCTTGACGGAAGGGAAGGGCCCCCTGACTGGGAGCTGCACCTGCCGGTTCCCACACTAGCCCAGAGCTCACATGTGCTCAGTGCATTTCCCTCTCAGCATCTCTGGGGCTCTCCTTGGGAGCTCAGGGCTCCCCCGTGTAGCTTCTAGTAGCTTCTACCCAAAGAGGGACTCTGGCCACCTCGTCCTCTGCTGCATTCCAGCTCCCTGGTTTTTGTAGCCACTTGATCCTTAGCCTCCGATCCTCCCGAGGACACTGTCAGCCCTGCTCACATTCTCTGCACTCTGTCTGTGACTAACCGTGGAGGCCCTCTTCCGCCGGACTGTCAGCCCACATCCCGTTCCCAGCCAGCCTCCTGCCCCAGTCACACCTGCCTTCCATGCTCTGACCTTGGTCATTCCTTTGCCACAGCTGTGACTTTCGGAGCTTTAACATGAGTTTCCAGGGTGTGGGTGGCATCAGGGACACACCGCTGAGGTTCAGGGAGGGAACCTTCTGCTTCCCTGCTAGTGTTTCTGGGATTTGTTTCCCACTGCCTTCTCTTTCCCCTGTAGAAGGGGCTTCTGGAAATGGAGAACGCATGCCGGTCCCAGCATGCCAGTTCCAGCATGCCCTTTGGGGTGTGCTGGGAGGGCTGGAACAAAGGCCTCTGACTCCTGGGACCTGAACTGGATGTGTACTCACCATGACCTCTTGGCAGCCCCTTAGCCTGTCCTCTTCCTTTTAAGCTTCATGCCTGGTTGGCGATGTGCCTCCTGGATGCACTCAAATCTGCTCTTATTTGCTCCTGGACTGGCCATGAAGTGAGAAGATGGTTAAAGAGAATTCCCTATTTATTTAACAAAAGAACCCAGTTAATATATTAATGTGAAATTAAAAAAAAAATTAAAAAAGTATTAAACCAAACCTGTTAAGGTAAATTTTCATAATCAGTACTATGATTAAGGACACATGCCATTTAAATCTGTATATTTCATTAGGTGATTTATGTTATCATTTGCTATAAATAGAACGTTACTGCCACCTGGAGGAATTTTCCTTTTTAGCTTTTTATATTACTTAGCAGGAGCATTTGACTGAATTTAAAACCTCACAATGGAAGTGTAGAAACAAAGCAAAGATAACAGATACATTGTATTATGTATACAAATAGTGTTAATATTTATCTTTGGTCAGCCTTTTTTTGGGTATTAGGTTGTAGAATATTACTGCCTTGTGAATACTACTAGTGAAATACTTATAATTTTATTTATATATCTTCAAAGCTAAGATATAGAATCCATGAATGTTGAGGTTCTGCTCAGATAGTTTCTACTCCTAACTTGCCTTTACATGGTCACTCTGCTCAGTACTTCAGGTCCTTGCAGGTTGCATTTCAAACTAGAGTGTGCCTTTTCCTAACTTTCAACTAGTCTAAATAGGTTGCATTCAATTAATATATTTTAAAAGACTTTTTTATTACCGCAGTATACAAACAAAGCCAGGAAGGCAAAAGTGAGAATTGACTTTATAGATTTATGAAGAATTAGTAAATGAGTTCTTCTAGGCCTAACTTAAAATTAAAAAAACACACCAGAAACAAAAAACGATAGGCCTGATTTTTGGTTGTTATGTACTTCATCTGAAAACTGAAGTGGCTTAGGAATTTTTAGTGCCTGAGAAGAAAATAGTCGAAAATGGGCATATTTCTCTCCTGTAAGATAACCTTATTATTACAATGTGAACTATTTCAAGTACCTGTAAGTGGCTGAGAACTAGTAATGTAGTTTGTGAATTTTTTCTTCTTTTTCATAATTGTTAACTCCCTTTAACTGTGTGCAGGTATCTGAGGTAGAATGATACCAGCTAATTTTATCACCTACATACCTGATGAGCTTCTGGTATTTGAGACAGAAATGAGACATTAGAAGATGTTGAGAATCTTTCAAACCTTTATTTTAAGAAGAGACATAATTTGTTTTAAAGCTATGCAAATGCACAGTGTACTTGATTTTTATTGCTTGTTTTTATTATTATTATAGTCAAAGATTAGAAATAAGAGCACAAGTTGCTGATGCTTTCTTATCCAAGTTCCAACTAACTTCTGATGAAATGAGTGTTCTCCGAGGTACAAGAGAAGGACCTATTACTGAGGTATGTTGCTTTTGTTATAATCATTTAAAGTGTAGCAGTTACAGATGTTATACAGAAAATTTTAAGGCTTTGTTTTACCATCTAAAAATGTTTTATTTGGAAATAGTTTTAAATTTGGAAATTAAGATGCATATTTTAAATTGTTTTAATTTTTTTCAAAGCAATACATATACTTTTTTAAAAGAAGTCAGAGTACAAGGCTTATAAAGAAAACCTACATCACTTCTTCCACTCTTCCCCATCTCTTAAGTCCTTTGTCAACTATTTCAAGCCTGTTAATTGCTTCTTTTGTAAATTCTGTATTCTAGAGCTACAGTTAAAAAGAATATTCTTTTAATGTAGGGGGACTAGACAGGCAGAAAGTTACCCCAGCAAATGCATTTAAAGATTACTGTTAGTTATTTGTACTAAATTTAGTGCTTTTCTCCTCCTGTTACCCTGGGGATGGGGGCTGTACAGGATATTAGATCAATTATAAAAAATAAACTTAATGTTCTTCCACGTAAAAAATATGTTTTAATTAGCTACGTTAACTATTTTTTATTGATTTTCTAATATGAAATATGAGGATTTAGCTTCTTCCCCTTAGTCCCCTCCTACACAAACACATTCTCTTTCCTTTATACCTCACAGTACAGTAACATGGCATTTTCTGATTTTAGTACAGTGACATTACAGTGGTTACATGTTCTTCATTTTACAATTTTTTGTCTTTTCTGGAATTAGAAATTCCTTATTTTTCATCTAATTAATTTTTTAACCTATGCTATTCTTTCCAAACTGAGAGAACTATCGAACCTCTCAAAATGCTAAACAACAGGGAAAAGTCGTCTTTTTTTTTTACTTGAAAGACATTCAGTTTTTCCAGAAAGGGATCTTCCATTCTCCTAACTGGGAGGAGCTATAAATCTACACTTGCTGTCATTATTCTGGGGTCTGAGGGCAAGAAGAGTTTTTTAAAGTGGGGGTGGAGTCTTACTGAGTGGCTCTTGATTGATATTGCTATTGTCTTACAGTCTAGGCTGGAATGTCAGCAGTTACATGTGTGTAGGGACATTACTTATCAGCCCTTATAGTTTGAGCAACTTTGCACATTTCAAATATTTGACATCTCACCCTTCCCCCACTTGGGAGAGAAAATGAACTGTATTAGAGGAGATGTTTTTTATTTAAATTGTATTCATCAAAGAAAAATAACACATTATTTTCATGTTTAGAGTACTATTTGGCTATCTATAAACTAAGGCTATAATACACTTTTCTAAAGTAAAAGTATCTTGGAGTTCAGCATCTGTCAACTCTTAATATTTAATGAGCATCTCTTACGCATCCAACTACAGTCTACTCTTGGATGTGGGGGCAAGAATGGGTATATAAAAGATATATAAAACATCATCTTTAATGCCAAGAAAGCCATGCTTAATTAAGGCATAAGATGTGTAATACATAGCATGTTTTTTTTATGTAATAATCTTTAGGTTTGAATTTCTCTCTCACTAAACTATGCACTTCCAAGGACACAGATTTTTGTCTTTATCAATTTTTCATCCCTGACAGCTAGCACACAGTTCAGCATATAGTAGATATTGAATTAATAAATGTTTTAAAATTTGAATAAAATATTACACTTTACATAAAAATTTAGAGGAAGTTGAGATCAGCATAGAAAGGATCAGAGTAGGTGAAAGCATTTGTTTTTTTCTTTGTAGTGATATTTCATTTTAGAGTAATACAATTTTACCTGAAAACATGAGCATTTTTAAGGTTGTATTCTTAATTTTAAAGGTTTTTTTCAAGGGATTGGGAAGAGTAAAACAGATTCATAATGATGTCAAAGTTCTCTTGCGTACGAACCAACAAACAGCAGGGTGAGTATCCTTTTCAGTTCATAATTGCATTGCCCTTATATTTCCAAAATTAAAAAAACATTCTAGGTTCTTTTTGGAAAAGTTTAATCTTTATGTGTCTTTGGATAAGGAGGGAGTTATTTCCTGATGTGCTTAGAGCAAAATAGCAGTTGGATAACTGAGTGAGGGTAATAAAATTTGACATTTGTTTAATTATAAAAAATTGAAAAATCATTCCATAAAATGATAAAAAGCTAACAAGATGTAACCAAATCATTCTGTAATTAAACAAAATAATTAGGTGCTTAGATGTAGCTGTTGGCTAAAGTTTAAATTATAATAAATATTTAATTTTTTTTTTAGTTTAGAAATTATGGAACAGATGGCTTTGCTTCAAGAAACAGCTTATGAAAGACTTTATCGATGGGCTCAAAGTAAGTGATTTCTTTCATGTGGTCTGGTTTTGTGAATATCATTGTTAGAATATTTTTTATCTCATGTAGTCTTTATTTGATATAATATTTTGATTTTAGTTATCAAAAAGTATTTTTAAAAAGAAAACAAACTTTACATTTGAACATATTTTCTTTAAGTTTGTATTATGAACATTTAACATCAGTCAAGCAATATGTTGATTAAAGATGGAAATTAAAAAATAAAGTCAATATTTGTAGATTATTTTATCTAATTAGATTATTTGGTCTAATCTAGATTAGATTGTTTTATCTGCTCTAGATTAGATTATTTTGAAGTTGCTCAGATGCTTCTTGTTATTTACATAACTTTATTATAAATGGTGAAATAATTTTGTTTTTCTGGTGTAACAAATTGCCGCAAGTTTAATAACTTAAAATATCAGAAATTTATTATCTTGTAGTTCTGTAGGTCAGAAATCATATATGGTTCTCATCACACTAAAATTAAAGTGTTGGCAAGGTTCTGTTTATTTCTGGAGGCTCTGAGGAGTAATCTGTTTCCTTACTTATTCAGTTTGTTGGCATAATTTTTAGTTCCTTGAGTCTGTAGGACTGAGGTTTGCATTTCCTTGCTGGCTGTCACTGAGGGCTTTTCTCAGTTTTTAGAGGCTGCTTGCATTCTTTGGCTTGTGGCGTCTTCTTCCATCTTTAAAAGCCAGCATTGGGCCCAGCCAGCGTGGCTCATTGGTTGAGCATCAGTCACCCTATGAACCTGGAAGTCCCAGTTCAATTCCTGGTTAGGGCACATGTCCTGGTTTTGGGCTTGATCCCCAGTAGAGGGAGTGCAGGAGGCAGCCAATCAATGAATCTCTCTCATCATTGATGTTTCTATCTCTCCCTCTTCCTTCCTTTCTTTGAAATCAATAAAAACATATTTAAAATAAAGTAAAATAAAAGCCAGCTTTGAAGGATAGTCACTCACTGTGAATATCTTCTGACTCTTCTATCTGTATCTCTAAATCTTCTGCCAGCCTCTTCCACTTTTAAGTCTTATGTGATTGCCTTGGACCCACTTAGGTAATCTTGGAAAGTTGCCCATTTTTAAGATCTATCGTCATAAGTCCATCTGTAAAGTATGTTTGCTGTGTAAGGTGACCTATTCACAGGTTTCAGGGATTAGGGATTTTTGGAGGACCATTATTTTGCCTACCACAAATGGTTGATTTGCTTTAGTTTTGTTTTAAAATGTTTCAGTAAGTTCTCAAAATTGCCTATTAAAACCAAAGAAGATAGTTAAGAGCAAGAATGGAATAGGAGCACAGAGATTTGAATAAGTGTTACCAGCTGACTATTGGAAGTTGGGATTAAAATACCATTAACCGGTAACACCTGTACTGTTCTGTGAAAACCTGTTTATCTTACTCAGATTATTTACTCCAAAATGTGTTTCTGTTTCTACCTCTCTTGTTTGCACTGTTTACTCCTATTTGCAGTGTTGTCTCTTCCTTTTTATGTACTAGTCTTACCTCAGCCTTCAAAGCTGAGCTTAGGTTCTACATCTTCCTGGAACTCTCCATAGCTACATTTAATCACAGTGTCTTTACCTCATCTCTGAACACTAACTGTTGGAAATATTTATTTTGCATTCAATAATTTACTAGTCTATTACTTTCTGTATATGTATATTCTTGCTCTCTAGTTAGATTTCTTTCTCAAGGCGAGGACATTGCCTCAGATTTCTTTGTGCTCCCATGACATCTAACATAGTGGTTCTAAACAGTGGGCCTTTGACTCCTAGGAACTTTAAGATGTCTCCATTTTCATACATATATATGTATGAAAATATATATGCATGCTTAAAATTTAGTGCTTGTGTGTGGTCTTTGTATCATATATCATACATGAGGTCCCCATGTGTGAAAGTATATATACATGCTTAAAATTTAGTGCTAGTGTGAAGTCCTCATATAACAAAGGTTGGGAATTCTTGAACAAGTTCGAAGTTCTTTAAACATAGTGGACTCTTAATATTTTATGGATAATATTAGAATAGTAAAATAAAGAAAACTTGGTATAGAGATTTTTAAAAGTTTAAAATCTAAACTTTTAAATTATAATCTTATTACTGTATATTAGTTATCCATATAAACATTTTAAGTATACTGCTTAATGATTACTCCCAAGGGAAGGAACTGGTAATATATTTTTAATACTCTTCTTCTTCTGCCTTGAACATTACCATGTGTATAGCAGTCATTCAGTGAATATTTTTTCATTGATTGTTTTTTATTAGAAATGTAGTTTTTTTTATAATAATGAAAACGAAGTTTGTGGTATACCAGACAGTATATGTGGTCATTTAAAGTTATATAAGTACTTAAGCTTAGATTTTTAGTTTGGTTGACAGCATAAACCAGTTCTTGATAGGCAAATTATCTAGGTTTTTCCAAGCATTTTTTAAATGTGATATTTGCTATAGAATTTACACTTTGGTTTTACAACAGGCATAATAAAGACCTAACTTTAATTTAACAGGGGTTATCATGTTAATTATTTTTCAGGTGAATGCAGAACATTGACACAAGAATCATGTGACATATCTCCAGTATTAACTCAGGCAATGGAAGCCCTGCAGGATAGACCTGTTTTATATAAGTTGGTGACTTTTTCCTAATTAAAAACCAAAAACCCTACTTTTATTTTGATAATGTACATTAACTTTTTGTAGTATTAAATACAGTAGTTTGAGTGATATTTATAATAACTTAAAAATGATATTTTCAGATCATACTACGTGTATATCAATGCTAGCATCAAGTTATTTGCATATTATATGCTAAAGAATCCAGTATAGAGGTGCCCCTGTATCTAGACTACCTCTTATATTTATGTAGAGGTGAAAGGGCTTTTTCCCAACCTGTCATCTTATTAACTACCTTAGAATTGTAAGTAAGACTCCTGTAGCAACACTACCCTGGAGAGAAGGAGGTCAAATAAAAGACTGAGAAATGAAAAAAAAAAAATAATTAAATTTTATTAATAGGATTCAAGAAAAGAAAGATTCCAGGTCTTTGATCCTGTAAGTTATGCCAATCAAGAGATATGTGATAATGTTTGGACAGGAACCTATGCATTATTAACTTGTTTACATTTTTTTTTATTCTGCATTTTAATCTTATTATTTTCTCATGTAAAATAAAAGGAAATACTTTTTATTTTTAATAACTGGAATAATATGAAAATAGGGAGACCAAGTGGGGAATTACAATTCAGGAAACAGGCGGTGGTCTTGTACATTGTACATTGACATTAATTGAATCTTGCTCTGAATCATGCCTTTCACATGCTAGTAATATTTTTACAAAACTTCCCCATTTCTCTGCTTTCTGATTGGAACATTACTTGGCCTGTAATAAGGTTCTAGAACACAAATGCTGGAATAGCTGTGTAAACATACCATTCCAGTGCTTTTTACTGAGTGCTTAACTCTTGTGTTAAGCAGAGTTTAAGTTCTAGAGACACAACATCAATAAAACACTGCCCTCAAATTGCTTTATTTTACAAAACCAAATATAAACACATCCATTTTAATGAGTATATTTATTGCTGTTTTAGAGGTCATGTCTCAGGTGCTGTGTCGCTCAAGTATTCTGTGGTAGGGACCTGGGATGAACATTAGGGAAAGTTTCCTCTGGAAGTAGGTAAAGTGAGTTCTGAAGGTTGAATAGGCATTTTCCAAGAAGAATGGGAAGAGAGAACATCCTAGGTTGAGCCACCAGCAGCTGCCAAGATGTGAATTGAGAAAGAACATGCAAGCAACTTTGAGCAGTAATTGCAAAGGCTTGCATTGGCTCTTGGGTTAGTAGTAAGATCTGTATCAGAATAGCCCTAAATCTTGTGCATGCACATATGATCAGCTGATGTTCACTGTGGGTCAGAAGCTCTGCAGATTATATCTACTTTGAAATTTGTTCCCTAGCCTCTTCACTTTAAGGTATTAGTGTTTGGTTATAAGAGTCATTTTGTACTTAAAACATTTGGTGTTAGATTTTAATAAGTGTTACATTGTCCACAGATTCATATTTGTTCACAAAGTTAATTTTTCTTTTTTAAAAAAATGCTGTTCTGTGTTTTGGACATTTGAAAAGGTCAATTGACTTCTACCATGTAAATACATTTTCATAAACTTTGATTTTTGGTCAGCACTTGGAAAGGAGCAGAACTGCATAATGGCTTAGAAGGTGTGCTCTGAGTTAGAGTTTTTGACAAGACTCTGCACCTTTATAAGCTTCTGTGTCCTTAGCTGTAAAATAAGAGGGGATTGGGAATGCCTATCTTAAAGGGTTCTGGTGAAGATTAAATTAGATTTTTCACATAAGGTGTTCACATAATTCTTTGCTCATCACTAAAGATTAGCTTTTATTTTTATTTTGAAAAGAGATAAAGTGGAAAGTTGTCAACTAAAAAGGAGTGTATTTAGGGTCTACATGGCAGCCAGGCAAAAGCTTGAAAGACAAAAAATAAAATTATAATCAAGAGGAAAGATGATTTATCTCTGAAGGGCACATGCCAGGGAATAGGGTAGGGGGACAGTAGTGCAGATTTAGAAGATGAGTGGGACGGAAGATTTTAAAGTAGTTGATTACCATAAGATGAATGCTGAAAAAGAGAATACTGGCCTTTCATTAAGTAATCATATATTTTCAAAGTGCTGGATTCTTTAAATTTAGCAGAAACTTAATGTATCATGTTAAGCACCAGATGGTATTATATGAACTTTAAGTAACGTATACTAGCTTTTCTCTTCATTATTGTATCTCACATGTGTAGGCATCATGTATAAGAAAAATGTCAGTTATTGAAGTCCTTGGGGAAAGTTAACATACTCAGTTTTTGTTCATAGTATATGACTGGAATGCTAATGCATTATTAATTTTTGGTAAATCAATTATAGAAGTTTCTTCAAAGTGATATTTATTATACTTGGAAGTGAAAAACAATTGATGTTGTCTTTCCTTTGGTAAACCTTCAGGATATAAGTATAAAGAATGTAATAGGTACAGTACTGATTTTTCTTCATTCTTTGTCTATTTGTTGCATTTCTTAGTGAGGCTTTTATACTGTTCTTTTATCTTTTAATTTGTTATTGACCAAAATTTTTCATCTTTTAATTTGCTTTTTGACCAGAATTTTTCTTTTTTCATTATAGCTAGATGTAATTTAAAAAATGGGGATTTTATTTTTTAATTTTACTAGAGGCATTTTAGAATATTTACATAATTTTACATTCATCTTTGTAAATGTGCATTTTGAATTTTTGACCTTTGTTGGAAAAGAGTCTTTTTTTGTTAAAGGAGTTTTTTTCTATCTCTGGGAAGAGATGTTTCATGTCTACAGATACCATTGAAGGTTGATTGTAGCTTACGTTATTGCAATAGGATTCACATTAATATTAATGTTTATTGATATTTCATAGTATACAGATTAGATTCCACTGTTTGTGGGGTTTGATAATTCCTCCCCCACCCCTCTTTTAAAATGCTAGTGGTTTTTAATATAACTTTTGTTTGTGAATTTTGTTCTGCAATAAGTAGTTATCTGCAAAAGTCATTTCATAGCATTGGTGATTATTTAAAGGAATGCAGTTTTTACACTAAAATATTTAGAATTTAAGAGCATGAGGGAAAAAATAGAACTAAGCATTTTGGTTCTAATTTTTTTTTTAAATAGAAAGTAAATGCAAAGCAGTTGTACAGTTTAATAAAACTTAACTTGATATTGTTTTCATCTTGTCATATTGCTAGTATGTCACTGCAGGGAATTGCAAAATCATTTCTGTTTAACTGAAAGCAAACACACACACACAAAACCATGACCTGTTTACTACTGAATGGTCTTTTAAAAAGGTTCAAATTCCTAAACATGTATAGTTATTGACTACTTCACTACATTTTCACTTTTATTTAGAAACATTTTCTCTTTCAGCTTGTGTTATAAGAAATGTATTTTATTAAATCAATAGCATATTTAAGAAAGCAGTATAGTTTAAGAGATTACTTCTTTGGAAACCTTTGAGAAATTCTGGTAACTTTATATGTACAGTAATAAAATAATTCTTAAGTTAGTCTGTTAGAATACTGTTTATTGATTTATAAGTATCTGTTGCCATTGGACTGTGAAAAAATAATTTTGTTTTCCTGTGTACTTTTAAAATAGAAAGCATTTTCAGTTGGGTGACAGGTGTAAGGAATGATGGTGATAATGGGAAATAAAGGGTGATTTTAATCAAAGAAATGGGCACTTGTGGCAACTCCAAGCCATCCTATAATTTCACCCCAAATTGTTTGATCCCTCAGTTCAAAGTTTTCCTTCTCTAGACATTCCCTCATCTTAGGAAGCCTTTCTCCCATTTTCAACCACAATTGATAGCATGTAAACATACTTAAAAGAAAGTTATTTGCTTTGTATGCCAAGGTGGTCAGTAAATTTAAGAAACATATATCTAATATTGGAGTCAAAATACGCTTTTAAATGTGGATAGCATGTTTTGGGCAAATTATTGGTGGTAAGTTGTGATAATATGTAAAAGGAGAGGTTTTTTTTAAATGTAGAAGGAAACGGTTTGTTTTTTGGATTGCAGAGTTGTAACTGGCCCTGAGAATTAGATAATGTGGCATTATGTGAGCATTGGAGAATCATGTTTTGGACTAGGAGGAAAATGAAACTGAACAGTCCAAGATTTCCACCTTAACCTTGATTTTTACTTTTACCCAATCTACTGCTTTTTAAAAAATATTTTCATTGATTTTTAGAGAGAGAGGAAGAGAGAGGGAGAGGGAGAGAGAAACATTGATATAAAAGTGAAACATTGATCGGTTGCCTCCTGCACACCGCCCACCAGGGATTGAGCCTGTAACCCAGGCATGTGTCTTGACTGGGAATCAGACCTCCAACCCTTCAGTGCACGGCACAACGCCCAACCAACTGAACCACACTGACCAGAGCCCCACTGCTTTTTAAAAAATTTTATTGCCACTGCACCTGTGATTGATCCTAGATCCCAGCACTCTTTCTTAAGAGTAAGTGAAAATATGTACCTTTAGATTGAATTTTCATTGTGATAACTTATTTCCTGTATTTTTGTTGTTTAAAAACAGTATTGCTTGAGAGAGTTGTATAAAGAAGCTTTATAGATGTCTTGCTTATCTTAGAAATTGCTTGAATAGTTTGATATAACCATAAGGAAGAAAAACAACTATTTTTTATGTTGCTTGTTTCTTCTAGGTATACCTTAGATGAATTTGGAACAGCCAGAAGAAGTACAATTGTCCGTGGATTTATTGATGCTCTTACTAGAGGGGGCCCAGGAGGTACACCTAGACCCATTGAAATGCACTCCCATGACCCTTTAAGGTACAGTAATTAGACAATATTGAAGCATTTGATGCTTTTCTGAAGGAAATCTTTACTAATATTTAGTTTTTTTCATTAGATATGTAGGAGATATGTTGGCTTGGCTCCATCAAGCGACTGCTTCTGAAAAAGAACACCTTGAAGCTCTCTTAAAGCATGTAACTACACAAGGTGGGCCCTCCAACTGATACTGCTAATGCCTAAATATATAAAATAACACAGAATTCTCTGTTTCTATACTTCTTCATGCAGATAAACTTTTCACACCTACAAGGTATAATAGCATCCTAATTAATTATCCTCTTCCTGTTTTTCTCTTTTTTTGCTAATAAAACTTTCTTCTCTATTCCTTTCATCCTGTCACACAACTGTTCACAGTTTTATAGTGGACCCTTATTACTTCCATCTCAAGGACTCCTGGACTCCTCTGCTTCACTTTTAAGGCACTGCCTTAGCATACATTATCTGATTTTCCATGCTACAGCACATCAAAGGCAATTTAGCTGTGAGGAAGCAGACTGAATGACTTGCTTAAGGTCATTAAGCTGCTAATTTTTTCACTCCTACTACACCACCCCCTTTTTCATTCTCATGTGATAGTTTTAAAGTTTTTTGAATAATTACCTATATACTAAATGTACTTAAAATTTTGGTTTTGATTTCAAGGAAGAAAAATTACTATTTTTGAATCGCAGGTGTTTTCTTAGAATTTCAAATCATCTTTGTTATGACTACCTTAAGTTGCGTGTTGTAGAAGGCGGCTAATGGATAATTAAGAGGTTCTGTTTTTGATAGGCAGTGAAGAGAAACATCGTCACTGGTATCACTTATGTTTTGCTTAGTGTTGCCCCACATCATTCTGGTTCAGGACATGATCTGCAGAAGAGGCCAGTGTACAAATTGGTGGCAAGACTTAACCTCCTTATTTTTAACTCTTTGGCATTGGGATTAGACCAGTGTATCTGTTAGATTGACACAAAGTCTTCATTTTTTAAAAGTTGTTTTCTTTTATCCTAAGTACCCAGTTTAAGAGAATGTATTTCTTAAAAAATGTTTCAGAAAAGTTAATATGAGAGGCAGTGTTAAGACACGGGAAAAAAATAGATTGGAGTTGAATGAAATAGGTTATTCTGTGGGAACGGCTTAATTCTTCTGAGCCTAGGTTTTACTATATGTAAAAATGAAGGTGTTTATAAGTAGTAAATGTCAAATACCTAGAACAAATCTTGATAAACAGTTGGTGTTTAGTAAATATCAGTTTTTCCATTAGATTGCAAGGTGTGGTTTCCATCTTTATACCCTCAGCTTGTGTTCAGTATCACTGCCTAGAATAAGATGTTTGGAGAATGAGTGCTAATAACATCTTCGCATTACTTGCTTCAATTAATACATTTTACAATTTACTTTTCCTGTGACTCATATATTTACTTTTTCATAAAGAAATCATGTTCACTTTATTAATCACTAAACTAATCAAGTTAGTCAAATGAATTAACAGGGCTCTAAACTCAGATATTAACATAATTAATAATGTCCTAAGGGATATTGAACTTAATAAAATATGATTAAGGTTATTTTAAATGTTTATTAGTGCCATTAGTCATTGTATGTTTGTTAGGTTTTTGAACATTTGTAAAGCAAAGTGTAATATGGGAAAAAATTTCAATTATGGTATAATTAATTGTAGGTGTTGAAGAAAATATTCAAGAAGTTGTTGGACATATCACTGAGGGGGTGTGCAGGCCTCTAAAGGTAAAATATTTGTTTTTATGTATGTTATATGGTATGTAGTTAAATTATTGCCTTATTTTATGAGTTTAAACATAATGATAACAGCCTGAATTAAGGTTGTAATTTTGTCAAATTGACACATTAGTGTAGGATAATAAGATACATTTTAAAATAATTATTGTCAGTTTTCTCTCTAAGAAAGAAAATTTGAGACATTCTCAGTTTGCATATATTGACTTATTTTTATCTATTATTTTTCCCATAGTAATTTGTCAATCAGTTGAGAAAAAATGTATTAAATTGAAGTAACTAATCTCTGAATTCATAACAGATTTACTGACAACATATTCCATTTACTTTATTGCTTCAAATATAATAAATTTTTGTTATAGCAGTAAATAATTATAAATCCAAGGTTAAAATAATATGTATGTGTTATCAATACTTATAGTACATGGAACAGAATTTGAAGTCAAAATTAGAATTCCCACTTTGCAACTTAGTTTTGTTCATTTGTCCAAATTGTCTAACTCTTCTACACCTTAATTTGCTCAGGTTGAACCTATATATAAAAATATCTACCATCAGGGGTTGTAGGGATTAGCTGAGAAAACTGTAGATGAAGTACATAGCTCTGGCACCTACAAGGCCTCCAACAGATATTGTTTTTCTTTATTAAAATTTCCAGAATAATTTGCAATTATTGGTTTACTTTTTCTTGTTGAGTGACTTCGGTTTAGACCTTGAAATTCAGAAGTTTCATGATTTATTCTTTCCAAGAACTAAATTTTAAAACTTGAATATTTTTTTGTTTCTAAGATTTTCTTTAGTATTTTGTTTCAAGCAGGGAAATCTCAGCTGGCACACCTTGCAACAATTTTAATTATTACTATTGTAAATATTATCATTAACATTTACAAATTTAATTACTTCTATAGCCTAACCATCTTATGGCTCAGTTGCATATTCAGTAAATAAATAGCAAAGTATTTTGAAATTATTTTATTTATTTCTCCCAGATGATAAACTTGCATTTTTGGTTTTCAAACATTTATACTCATATAAATGTTGAAGTTATTGGAAAGATAAAAGAAAGGGAAGAATAAATTTTTTTTATTTTCTTATATTTTTCCTACATTTTTGTAATTACATATATAGTTAAATGAAACTCGCAGTCAGTTTGGTGAATAAATTATATTTTATGTGCCTTACCTTTTTTGTCCCCTCGTCTTACTTATGGTATTATGTTCCTTATTTATAGCTTTTTTAAAGAAAGCAAATTGTATAAAATAATATTCTAGAACCCTAAGGTTGGAATGGACCTAAAAGTTTCCTTTCCTGGTCTGAGTAAGAAATGTTGTTATGTTAAAAATGTTTAATATAACACCCACTGCTTATATAAATAAATTATATATTGAAGCCTGCCTTTGTTTTAAAATGTACTTAGAAATTCTCACCTTATCTTCCTTAAATTTATATGCTCAGAAAGGTGTTAATAATAGTGGTGGGCCATTATTGTTGATTCTCTGGGAAATTTAATGTTACATCAAAAGGTGAAGAAGAAAACTAGTAAGCAAGCAAAGATCTTTTTATTGTAAAATGAACAGAAATCCATTTTGTTTCTGAAATGACAGAAACCTTAAATTTTTCCATATGATAGTAATAGTCATTGCATACCCCAGAGAATATTAGCATGATAGTGATGATCCAAGAATTCTTCCCTTTTTTTAGGTATTGTAGGCAGAATTTTCTTTCAATATTACCTCATTTGACTATCTAGTATTCTCAGTGATCTATTGTTAGCTGAGGAAAAAAACCTTTATTTTAAAATTATAATTTGGAGTGTTTTTCTTAATGATGTATCTATGTTTACATGCCATTAATATAAATTTTTTACCTCCTAATTGATAAGCTGTTAAACTTTTCATATTGGCATGAAATATTGGATGTTTTGGTTACGTTTCTGTTCCTCAATCTTTCTACTCTGTAGGAATGAATTTTTTTAGAGCAGCAGTGATTTTGATTTTTAGAAGCATAAAGAAAAGGTAATGGTAGTAAGAGATATCCTTGTGAAACTAAATATTTGTGTTAGTCTACTCTATAACCTTTTCCTTCTGTTAATAAAGTGAAACTTCATAGGCAATGGACTACTTATTTGTAAATACATATATGAAGATATGATCTCTAAAGTTATTGCCAGTTTTAAAAATTGCTGCTGTAAACTTAAAATTACATAGGGATAAAATTACATATATTGTAGAGGAGGATACTATGGGTCATCAGCATCAAGCCCTATTTACAGGTATCTTTATTCCAAAGCTGTGGCTAGAACCATCAGAATTAATATAATGAATCTTTGTTTTTGAAGTCCGTAGATAATACAATCTTTCTTTTATGTAAATGTTCTAGCTAATATTTGTGTACCAACAAATATTTTAATAAAAATGTTTATCTTTTTAATAAAACTTTAGTGTATGATATGCTCCTGAACTTCTTAAGTTGTGGTGGGTTTTATGAAAATAGGTGTATAGCGGAACCTCAGTTCTTGAACTTAATTAGGTTCAGAAGGCTGTTGGAAAAGTGAGTTGTTAAAAAACTGAATCATTTTTTCCCCTTAGAAATAATGTAAATTGAATTAAATCATTCTAGACCCCCAAGTGCTTCCCTGTTTTAACCTTTCTTATATATAGGAAATGTCTAACATACTTTTTATAAACAAACACTTCTTTTCTTAAATTTATCAAATCATCCTCTACTAGCCTTAAATGAATCACTTTTAGCACTCCTTCCAGGGGTGTCGTTTAGGTCAACATGCAGCATCTTCTCTTTTTCACATATCATTGTCTCCAAAATGCTATCACCAGAAAGCTGCTCTTCGTTTTTCCAAACCAACAAGTTTTCTACCTCTTCAGTTGCCTGTGATCATTGTTTCATGAGCACTTTCACACCCTTAGCAACATCAGCACTCGATGGCTTTATCTTTTATGGCCTTTTTATGCTTTAAAATTGTGCTAATCATCCATTTCACCAGCAACAGAAACAAAAAAACCCTGCAAGAATATTCACAGCATAATTTCCTGAGATGTTAGCAAGAGGAGGTTTAGTGGTAAACTGACTCATAATTGCACATTCTCTCCTTTGTTTGTGGCCTGAGAGATGCTTTTTGTTGTGCTGATCTATCAGCATGAAATGGTTGTCAGGTTGAGAGCGGAAGTTTTGTTCGACACCCAAGCCATTTTTCCCATGAACAGCTTGGTCAAGGACCGAATTATTCTATATGGGAGACGTTTGAGAGCTGAGATTTGACTGTACATGCAAAGATAGATGGCATGGAAAATAGAGCTGAATGCTGTATTGCATGATACAGTCATAGTGCACTCAAGTTGCTGATGTGTACTTGGGAACAAATGTGTACCCTAAGCATCTATCTATGATGGAAGGTAAAGGAGGTTTGTCATTATCCCTTTCAGTCTTCCCTTCTCCTTTTTTCCCTATCCCCATAAACACAATTTCTCCCTCTTTCCCTTGCTCTCTTACTCTTGCTTTTGCCTTAGCTGTCTCTCTGGCATTGCAATGGAGAGCCACTATTCTATCTTTTGTCTCTTCCTGAGTTTGTCGTCAGATTGCCTGCAACTCATTTTGCTACTTTTAATTTCTGCTTTTATCATCTATTCCACCTCTAATACAGTTCCAATTTATTGATTGCTTATTATGTTCCAGGGACTGTTCTAAGCTCTTTATACCTGAAACACTGTTCCCATAAACTCAGCTTATAATTTTTTTACTGCCATTACCATTATAATTTCTAGTTAGTAACTGCTGCCAGCACTTCTTTAGTCTCTTTTACCCTTTCTACTTTCTTTTTTTGTTTTTCTTATCTCCTGTTGTTTTCCCAATGACTGTTGGCTTTTGCTGGAAATGGTTGGCCTCTTACATACACTTCATAAAACAGGGTGTGGCAAACTAAGCAGTTTTGGTGTATCGTACATAAATCACCTGGGTTTTCAAAAACCTTTTTCTGTTGTTTTCATTGAGGCTGAAAGAGCACTTTTCCTCAAAACCTTTGTGCGTATAAAAATATGTGAAAGTTATGTGTGGTTTTTTCTCTTTCTTCCTTTCTCTCTTCCCTCTCTTTTTTTTGTCTTACCCTCCCTCCTCGCCTTTCCCACTTTCTTTCTCAAGGGAGTTGGAATGAAAAGTATTTTCTTGATGCTTGAAAATTCTGGAAGGCAGGTTGTCAGATAACTGAGATGGTGCTATAAGTCTACTAGGGAAACACTGTCTGTTAACAATTAATATACTTTATATTTTGCCCTAATTGTTATATTTAAATTCAGAAAACATCACCTTTTTAATATAATTTACAATTTAAGTCCCTATGGAGGCCTTAGATTTAGAAAGACGTAATATTAAAATTTTAGGTTTTAAATTCAAATGCTATTTATTATTTATAATACTGTGGCAGTTAGCTGGACTAATTTATGCCAACAGGTATATCAGTTTCATAAACATATTAATGTAAAGGTCAATTAATTTTTATAATCTTAGAGGTTTTTATATACTCATATACATACATTTATAAAATGTATAGCAAATCACATCTGTTGGCATTAAGATATATTCCAAAATCTAAGTACAGAGAAACTTCAACTTTCAAAAGCATTTATTAAACATCTGTTGTATATATACTGTTTTGCCAGGTATTGCAGGGATGTAAAAGAAGCAGAAAAGACAATATCTGTATTTAGAATCTAGTTAGGAAATAAGAAGGTACAGTGTAAGCAGCAGCTTAAGATCAGGTATCATATAATATGTAAATAGCACATATCAGTGTACTTTTGATTATATTCATTAATTAGAGAATATAAAGTAAGAGAAAGATCAGTGAGGGATGAAATTTAATTAGAAAAGATTCCCAGTAGTTAATCTTGAAACAGGTCAAATTAATCTTGAACCAGATCTGATAATGCCTGGGTAGTCTTATAATAAGACAAATACTTTTATGCTAATTTAAGATTTAT